TTCAAAATTTTGTACAACTTGATGGCGTATATTTATCTTGGAAGTCATTCTTCAGCGAAGAATGCTGGCCTCATTATCAGTGTGTGCAAGGCAGTTTACCTGTTACATTGGGGAATAGTGGGACATAAATACAGTCTTAGTGGCTAAGGACAATAGGTTTTCTTAAGGTAAGATACATGTTAAATAGTGTCATCATTTACAAAAACATTTAAAGAAGTCTTTTAGACATTAAGCTTAATCTAATTACAGGCACTAACAGAGCAGTTCAGATCAAGTTCAGTTACGTTAGGTTCATCTGAATTGTTCACTTTATATATTTTATAGTAAATGCAGTTTTCCCCAAGAATTATGGATGAAATAACTGATAAGGGGCTTTTCTATGACAAATTTGAAAATGTTTTGAACACAGGAGAAAGACCAAATCTATATATTATTTTGGGTAAGGTTTAGCATAATTTTTTTCTAACTATACTGGTTGACCTATTTGAAATGGAATGGGGTGTGGCAAATTGAGAGAGGTAGATGCAGTGTGAAGACAGGTCTAGAAAATAGTGATAGCCCTTGTTCCTTACTCCCAGAATTAATTTATAGAGACTGACTGATAATCAAGAATCAGAAAACATCTCCTATATAGAATTGTAGATTTTGAAGAAAATTCTGTAAGGACATCAGTATTTCCATGTCATTATATTATCACTGATTAAATTTTACATGAATATGAATGGCTAAGTGCACAGAAAATTAAAGCTGAGCTATTCAGACTCACTGCCAGTTTGAAGTAGGAAAAATCAGTTAAGATGCATTTTTTAAATAGAGGAAAATAATTTGATATACACAACTTTCTTAAGTGAGGCATAATTGTAATGTATTGAACATGACTAAAGGGCTGTGTAAAGTGTTGATTAATAGTGAAGGAAGTGTATGAGGAGGATGGGAAGGCTAAACCATGCGATGAGTTGGCTATTTTGAGACAATTCTAAATTCTTAACATTGTAAACTCTGCTGGTAGAAGAGATTGTGTTAAAAGGTAAGCAGTCTTGGAAGCACTATTCTGAAGTCCATCCTGTTTCCAGCTGCACTCATTGGTCTTAGCTGTCTTACAGTGCCTTGCATGTAAAGGTGCTCAATAAATATTTGAATTAATGAACAAATGTTTACTCTAGCCTGTTAGTTTTCCAGGATCTTATAATTACACCTTATTTGCAGTAGACCTAGGGTGAACTTGTAAATGGGATCTACTCCTAGCTACTCTGGAGGCTGAGGCAAGAGACTCACTTGAGCCCAAGAATTTGAGATTAGTGTGAGCTATGATACTACTGCACTCTACAGAGGGCGACAAAAAATAAATAAATAAAAATTTGATCTAATGAGCATAGTGATAAACAGACAATTGTTTTAAGTTCTATTCCCAGACTTGTAGAATTTCAAAATCTAACAAACATCACATATAGGCATCTAGGGCACATACAAGCAGAATAAAAAGTGAAACAGTGTATGGATGATGAAATATTAACACATGTGTCACTTGCATTTTGGAGGGTGGGATAGCAAGTACAGTCACACATTGCTTATCCATCACAGGGATACATTCTGAGAAATATTTTCATTAGGTCATTTCATCATGTAAGTAACATACAATGTTTGGTACTCAACCCAAACCTCCATAGTATTTGTCTACTAAACACCTAGATTGGGTGGTATAGCCTATTCAGGCTATCCCTGTACAGCATATTGCATTTTAGGGTACAATGCATTTTAGGGTACAGCATTTTAGGGTACAATCTTGTACTGAACAGTTAATTGGAACACAGTAAGTATTTTCATAAATGTATCTAAACATAGAAAAGGCCCAGTAAAAACAGTGGTATTATAATCTTATGGGACCATGCAGTCTGTTGTTGAAAACTGAAATGTCATTATGGGCCACATGACTTCATGTAATTTTTGTGAAGAGAAGTTAACACTTCTATTTAATTTGGACCTGGGACTTGTTTTCTGAGGAATTCATAAGGAATGGGAACGGTTTACAACTTATTCCCATATCGGCATCTCAAAGGCAGCATGGTACCTAGACAATAAAGGTTAGACTGAGTTGTGAAGAATTAAGAATACATGGTTTGGGCCTTAGGCTAAAATCCAAATTCCAGACTTAAACTCACCTTATTACACTGTTCTCAGCCTGTTTTTCATTTTCTTTGACAAAGCAGGAACCTGGATTTGCTTTTCTAGCTTTAGCTTCAGATGAGGGTAATAGAGGGAAGATTTTATCTAAGGAGCAGTACCCAGCCTTTCTGGCACCAGGGACTGGTCTCATGGAAGACAACTGTTCCACAAATGGTGGGTGGTGGGGTATTAGATTCTCATAAGATACATGCAAAGGATCTAAGTTGCATGGGCAGTTCACTGTAGGTTTCATGCTGCCATGTGAATCTAATGCCACTCCTGATGTGACAAGAGGTGGAGCTTTGGCCATTGATGCTAGCGAGCAATGGGAGTGGCTATAAATATAGATGAAGCTTTTCTTGCGCACTGTGCAACTGTTCCTAACAGGCCAGGACTGGTATTGTTTGGTGGTCTGCTGGCTAGAGACCACAGCTCTAAAGCAGTGTAGCTTTGGACCAGAAGATGAACAATGGCTGGGCATGGTGGCTCATGCTTGTAATTCTAGCACTCTGGGAAGCGGGTGAATTGCCTGAGCTCACAAGTTTGAGACCAGCCTGAGCAAGAGCAAGATCCTGTCTCCAAAAATAGCTGGGCATTGTGACAGACGCCTATAGTCCCAGCCACTTGGGAGGCTGAGGCAAGAGAAATCACTTGAGCCCAAGAGTTGGAGATTGCTGTGAGCTATGACGTATGGCCACGACGCACTACCAAAGGTGACAAAGTGAGACCCTTGTCTCAAAAATAGAAGAATGACTTTTTCTTTTTTTTTTTTTGGAGACAGTCTCAAGCTGTCGCCTGGTACCTATGTCATCATAGCTCATAGCAACCTTCAACTTGGGCTGAAGCAATTCTCTTGCCTCAGTTTTTCTATTTATAGTAGAGATGGGAGTCTCACTTTTGCTCGCGCTGGTTCAAACTTGTGAGCTCAAGCAATCCACCCGCCTCTGCCTCCCAGAGTGCTAGGATTACAGGTGGGAGCGACTTTTTTT